AGATAGAGAGATAGAGAGATAGAGAGATAGAGAGATAGATAGATGATAGACAGACAGATAGATAGATAAAAGCTTGTCTACCTGTAAAGAGAAGACTGCTGTCCTTTATGGCCGAGTCTATAAAAACAGCCTAGGATGTCCTTGCTCTGTCAGTGCTTCCTGAATTCCTCCCACACTTCAGTTGGCCGTGGTGAGGTCATCCTTTGGGCAATGGGGACACTGAGTAAGGAAGAAGTAAGAATTACGCCGTCACAACACCCAACAGCACCTGGGCACCCAGGCTGTCCTGGGTCTAGAGATTACAATTCTGCATGACTGTCCACTCTTGATAGCCTTCTCCTCTGTGGACCCCAGCTCAACAGAAACTCCTCGTCAACCTACCCCTCTTCCCACCTTTCCCAATCATGACAAGGTTGTCTTCTCCTTAAACCCAAGGGAGTGACCTTCAATGTCCAAGAGGGAAGCATCCAACTGTCTGTTAGCTGTATTTCTTGGTGAACTGGTAAATGAGTGTAGCTGTTCTAAACTGCAAACTGAGACACGGGAACAGGAGAATAGCTAAGGAGAGATGTGGCAGAAGAGATCAGCAAAATTCTACCTATGCCAGAGTTGCTTGTTCTCTCTGTCTCTCTCTCTGTGTACTATTTCTCTCTTTCATTCTCTCTCTCTCTCTTGTCTCTGTTTCTTTTCCGCTTCCTTTCTGGTATATGCAAGGGTATGTGGTGGTGTGCATGTGTGTGTGTGGGGGGGGGTTCTTGCCTTTGCAGGCATCTATGAGTGACAGAAGACAATGTTAGGTGTCTCCTATTTCATCAGTCAGTTCCCTATCTCATTTTTTAACCCAGGGTTTCTCAGTGAGCCTGGAACTTGATGTTCCAGCAGGACCAGCTGGCCATTGAGGCCCCAGGATCTGTCTGTCCCCACTGCCTGGGTCTGGGACTATAGATAGATGCTGCCATACCCAGATTTTGTTGTTTTGTTTTGATACAGGGTTTCTCTGTGTAGCCCTTGGCTGTCCTGGATCTCACTCTGTAGACCAGGCTGGCCTCGAACTCACAGAGTTCCACCTGCCTTTGCCTCCCAAGTTCTGGGATTAAAGGTGTGCACCACCACTGCCCAGCACCATGCCCAGATTTTTATGTGGATGCTGAGGATCTATGCTCAGGTCCTCAGGCTTGCACAAACATTTTTTCTGAGTAGTCTCCCCAGCCATGGCTTCTTCTTTTTTTAATGCATTGGCTTTTGCCGTTGGTGTATTTCAAGTTATCTTAAAAAAAAAAAAAAATCTGTTCCTAATTCCATCGCCTGGTTCTGGTAAGAACTCTTAGAAGTAAGAAACACATGGGCTTGCCCACAGAGCCAGGCAGAAAGAACTGTTGTGGATGCCAGTAGCTGGGGCCGAGGTTGGACGTCAGCCCCGGTGTTAGTGGAGGGGATGTGGACATTTCAATGGCATCTGCTGGGTAGAGAAACAGAAGACAGGAGAATGGGGCAGGGGATGGAGAAGATGAGAGGACACAGCAGAGGTCTCTGGCTCCCCTTATCCCTCAAGTGGGAGTGTAGCACAAATTCTAATCGGCCTTAATAATAAAAACCTGGAGCCAGCTATTGGGGTAAATGCTGAAAGATCAGAGAAGCAGAGCATCCAGCCACTAGAAAGACTTCGTACCTCTAGGAATCCTCAGACTCAAGGGGCCAATCGGGCTCCTGTCTCCTCCCGACTTATCACTTCCTGTCTCCATCTCCCTAGTTCTGGGATTAAAACCGTGAGATTCCCAAGGGCTGGGATCAAAGGTGTGTGCCACCACGGCCTGGCTCTGTTTCCCTTTTAGACTGGATCAATCTTGTGTAGACCAGGGTGGCCTCGAACTCACAGAGATCCGTCTGCCTCTGCCTCCCTAGTGCTGGGATTAAAGGTGTGCGCCACCACTGCCTGGCCTCTGTGTCTATCTAGTGGCCAGCTCTGCACTCTGATCTCCAGGCAAGCTTTGTTTGTTAGAGCACAAACAAAATATCACCCCATGGGAGAGAGCCTCCCCAGTAATACAAAACCATCTTGAGATGTAGAGTAGATGACACTTGTCACTGTCTTCCATTTGTGACCGCAGGAGACCACAGAGAAAGAGATTTCCCAAGAATGGAGCCCTTGGCAACGACCTTTTGTCCTCTGGAATCCACACAACACACCGGAAACAAATCTCTAAATGAAACTGCCTGGTCTTCAGAGCAAGCGGCTGAGTACAGTTATGTTTCTATCTTCCTGGTGATGTGCATGCTGGGACTGGCTGGGAATGGACTTTTCATATGGTTCCTAATCTTCTGTGTCAAGAAGAAGCCATTCACCATCTACCTCCTGCACCTCGCCATTGCCGACTTCATGAATCTCCTCTGTTCATCCATCATTCAACTAGTGAACATCTTCCACATCCATGATGACAACTTGCTGACTTATGCCATCTTCCTCATGATCTTTGGCTACAACACGGGCCTGCACCTCCTCACAGCCATCAGCGTAGAACGGTGCCTCTCAGTCCTCTACCCAATCTGGTACCAGTGCCGACGCCCAAAGCACCAGTCCGCTGTGGCCTGTGCACTGCTGTGGTCGCTGTCTGTTCTCGTGTCTGGGTTGGAGAGCTTCTTCTGCATTCTGGAAGTGATGCCCCAGTTCCCAGAGTGCCGTTACGTGTACATATTTTCCTGTGTCTTGACATTCCTGGTCTTCGTGCCTCTCATGGTCTTCTCCAATTTAATCCTCTTCATCCAGGTCTGCTGCAACCTGAAGCCACGGCAACCAGTCAAGCTCTATGTGATCATCATGGCCACCGTCATCCTGTTTCTCGTCTTCGCCATGCCCATGAAGGTGTTGCTTATCGTCGGCTACTATTTCGACACAACAGATAAGTCTGTGTGGAAATCCCTCCCTTACCTGAACATGCTGTCCATTATTAACTGCGGCATCAACCCAATTGTCTACTTTGTGGTAGGCAGTCTGAGGCGGAAGAGGGGTGGGAAGTCCCTAAAAGAAGCACTGCAGAAGATCTTTGAGGAAAAGCCGGCGGTGGGCTCTAGGGAGAACGTTGCACAGTTCTCTCCACCTTCATGACCTTCTGCTAGGACATCCCCAAGGCAGGATTCCCTGTGTGGGAAAATAACGCAGTTCTGAAACCATCCTCCCACCTGGCGGCTCACCAAGATTAAAGAGAAAGTCCTTCATTCCTCCTGGAAATAAATGATAACAAAACACACTGTACCCATGACACACTTGGCCACTGATAACTTGATGGAAGCTAATCATTTTTTTTTTTTGCCAGTACTGGAGATTGGCTCTTGAACATCACACATGCTGGGCAAGAACTCTAGCACAGAGTTCTAACCCTGGCTTGATCCCACCTTCCCAGCACTATAACGTCTCACTTAATCTTGTCACTCTTATGATCCACTGTTGTTAACCTACTGTCACAGATAAAGGTAAGAGGTTTAGTAAGGTTTCAAGGTATGGATGATGTTGAGCCGGACTGTGACCTAAAAAATCTGACCCTCAGACCCACCCTTGAGACTGTAACACCCAGGTCAGTCTTCAAGAGGTCAACTGTTCATACCTTTGTCGTCAATACCACTCCTCACTTCTCCCTTGGGTCCCTCTTTCCATCTTATGCTTTGAATGCCTCAGGGGGGAACATGTTAGTACATATAAGGGACAGACATCATGCTTCCTTACAAGCATATTCACTATTCATGCACTGAGAATTCACCATGGGACCAACTGAGAGATAGATACATCCCATGAACCTTTAAAGACGTCATCCTATAAGAATTAGAGGGAAAGCCTCAGCAAGCATGAGTGAAGATTTGCTTAGGCATGGACATTTTCTCTTTATCTCCCTTCCTGCCTCCCCCCACACCCCCAGTCTCCCTCCTTCTCTGATTTTCTTCTATCCTTACTTAGTGTTTTGAGACCAGATTTTACTATGTAGCTGTCTGGCCTCAAACTTTCCAAGCTCCTGCCTCAGGTTCCTGAGTGCTGGGATTACAGGCACATTCGGCCATTCCTGGTCTCCTTTTTTCCATCCTTTCCTCTCTCTTCCTCTCCTTTGCTTAAATATGAGGTGCTTACACACCCAGGAACAGCATGTGGTGCATTTTGTTGTAAAATGTGTACAAAACAAACCCGTGTTTTCCCCTCCACTGTCCCAGCATACAGCTATCACCCGACCTCCTGCCTCAGCTCTTTGCCAAGTGGCTGATTGGAAAGTCTGCTGCCGATACTTTTGAAATGGAGTGTTTTCTGTTTTTATTGTAGAGAAAATGTTCTGCAGCAATCCCAAGGCACAGAGAAGGACTTCACTATTTTAAGGTCAAGCCCAGCTTCTCAGCACTATTTATAGATTTTGTTCATCCAGTCATTTTCTTACTGGGATAAAAATCCCATAATACAACTAACTGGCTTTCATAAGATAAACCCTTAAATGTAAACCGGACAAACTAGGAATTATACTGAGTGCTTTAAATTTCGGTGGCTTTGGGCCTGTTCCAACTATGATGAGAAGTGACAACTATGATAAATCATGAGTTAGAAAAATGTATTTTAATAAATATGACAACTGGCTAATATCCCTTAACATATGGAATGTTCAACTAAACCAAGAATAAAAATGGTGGGATACCAATAGATAAATGGGTAAAGACTAAATGGAGGACAATTTCTTTCTTTCTTTATTTTTTTATTTTATTTATTTTATTTTACAATACCATTCAGTTCTACATATCAGCCACGGGTTCCCCTATTCTCCCCCCTCCCACCCCCCCCCCCTCCCCCCGCCCACCCCCCATTCCCACCTCCTCCAGGGCAAATCCTCCCCTGAGGACTGCGATCAACCTGGTAGACTCAGTCCAGGCAGGTCCAGTCCCTTTGGAGGACAATTTATAATCCCACTACAAACAAGCAAAAATGACCCATAGTCAGAAGTGTTTGAACTCAGTAGTTACCAAAAATGCTAATTAAGACAACAGAATAGAGCCAGGTATATCCAGAGCCATAATCGGAACACTTAGAGGTGGAAGCAGGGGAATTCCTGTGAGTTTGAGGGCATCCTGAGCCAGTTAATGAGATCCTGTCTCAAAATAAATAATAAAGTAAAATAAAATACCTGAATGCTGTTTTAGCTCATATAAATGGCAAAGCCTAAAATAAATTGCTGTATGTGTGGCTCTTGGGGAACAAACCCAAGGCCTCATACGCTGGGCAGGGACTCTGTCATGAGCTTTACCCCCTGCCACGTGTGAATGTTATTAGTCAAGGGGTGAGAGGGGCCTCTTCGGATACCACTGAGTCTCCACCTTCACGGTTTCCACCTCACTCCATCCTGAACTGGGTTTGGTTTGTTGAGTTTCATGCTGAGGAGGGAACTGGACCTTTCCTTTGGTGGCCGAGATAGGAGAGTGTCTTGCCATTACCTCTCAGCTGGGGATATAACCTTACACCCTCATCAATCACATAGCTGTGAGGAAGCGACTGACATCATCACCAGAAGAGCACGGACTCCGACTGGACTCTGGAGGGAAGATGGGTCACTTCCGAGCTACAAGCCCAAAAGCATCATTCCTTCCATAACATCTACCTTCCTTCAAAAACTTGCCCTTTGGTGGGGTGTATTTGGCTTGCTCTGAGAAATGTGGGGAGAGACCGTCACGGTGACCTTCCCCCCTGAATTTGACAATGAGATGTAGCTGAGGAGATCATCCTTCACACCCCAGTGTCCTTCTTGAGCTCAGGACTAGCTGTGAAACCACAAAAGAGACCCTGACATCCAAGCGTTTTTTTCTTTCCATTTTTAATGTTGAAAAGCAGAGAAACAAGCTTTTGACTTACCTAAGGCAGCTCCGGGGAGATTTTCTTACCCCCTGCTGTCACCTGTTTCAGCCTCCAGGATTCACTCTGCTGTGGAGAACCGCTTCAGTGATGGAAGGAGTTACCGATGAATGAAGCAATTCGGAATCCTAACAGAAGCCCTCGGGAGCTTCCCCCGGATGTGAAGGAGGCTCTTCGGAGAAGTTGGGGGGTCAGGTCATGCTCAACTGACTCCATCCTTTCCCGATCCTGATCTCAGTCAGTTCAGGGCAAGTATTTTATTTCATAGTCTATATCACCGGGGATCCGAGAAACACTGGCTGTCTCCGAATGTATTAGTAACTGTGTGCTTAGGCAGCTGGAGCCAGGCTGGTGGGAAGGCTCAGTAGGTAAAGGTGCTCGCTACTAAGTCTGATGACCTGAGTGGGATTCCGAATGGTGGGAACAGAGAACCTACTTTTGCAAATTGTCCTCTAACCTCTCACGTGTGCACCCACCCAGCCACACAAATTAAACAATGTAAATACTTAAAAATTAAATAGCAGAATTCAATCATAAAATGCCTTTGGTTCCATATAAGAAGAGAGAACTCCAAATACTATTATAACATTGTTATCACCTCTTCATTTATAACCATTTCTTGAGGATGCACTGTCTGTGGTCTTGTCTAAGGTGCAGGAGAAGGTGCATAGTGAGCCTGTTCTTGTCTGGACCCCCTCAGCCTCTAGGCTGATCAGTCCATGAGGCCAGGACCTGTGCAGCATCTATCTCCAGCTCCAGGAAGTTTCAGGCACCCAAGAGGTACTTTTCTTCTAGAGGACCTGAGTTCAGTTCCCAGCCCCCACATCAGGTGGTTCACAACTGGCTGGAACACCAGCTCTGGGGGATCCAATCAATGCCTCCGGCCTCTGGCTCATACCCCCATGCAGACACACACACACACACACACACACACACACACACACACACACACACACGCACGCACGCACGCACGCACGCACGCACGCACGCACACAGCAGAACACGTAATTAAAAATAATAAAAATAAATAAATCTTTAAAAGCAAACAAACAATTTAAAATGCCATCAGGCAGCATTAGACATTCAGGCAACCTTATTCTTTGCTACAGCTGACTGACCTTAGTTGACCCATGGAGGATGAACTCTCACACATTCTAGCTGCCTCAAAGCTCCTGACCCACCCTTGCCTCACTTGATAAAGGTAAACCAGGGAGAAAAAGCGGGGTGAGCTGGCTCCGCCACTCTGGCTTTTCTCTGTGCTCTTCCTCTGCCTCCAGGCGGCAGAAAAGGAGAGAGCCGGCCTCAGCAGGCGTGGGCAGGCACGAGTCTTCCTTGCCCCTGCCCAGAGTCAACGTACTTGGACCATTCTGGAAGTGGGGGCTGCCATCCCAGGCTGAGGCTCAAGAATCACTGGAATCAGGGCCCAGGGAAAGTACCAGGAGCAGGGGGAACTCCCAGTGTGGAGGTGACAGTCTCAGAAGCGTGCTCCCATGCACTCCTCACACACTCCCCGGGGAAGGCTTGAGCATGCCTGGATGTACACACTGCCCTAAGCAACTGTCCACCGAGGATAAAACACACAACAATCCTTGCTTGCCAGGAGGACTAAAATTGAGTGGCTACTTAAAGTTATATTTTGTTTTTTAGCTTTTTATTTTTTTTATTATTATTAAGACATGGTTTCACTATTTAGCTCTAGCTGGCTTAGAACTCACTTTGTAGACTGGGCTGGCCTCAAGTTTATAGATATCCACCTGCCTCTGCCACCCCAGTGCTGGGATTAATGGCTCTTAGATTTCTTGAGACTAGTCATTCAGGTTGGCCTTGAACTCAGGAAGCAGTGGAAGATGGCCTTTAACCCCTGATCCTCCTGTTTCCATCTCTCTAAAGTAACTTTAAAAAAGCTATTTCAAGCTGGGCAGTGGTGGCGCACGCCTTTAATCCCAGCATTTGGGAGGCAGAGGCAGATGGTCTTCTGTGAGTTTGAGGCCAGCTTGGTCTACCGAGCAAGTTCCAGGACAGCCAGGGCTATATACACCAAGAAACCCTGTCTCAAACAAACAAACAAACAAACAAAAATATTTCAAGGTAGAGAGAATGTAGCTCAGTTGGTACTGTTCGATGCATGCGTGAAGCCCTGGGTTTAATTCCCAGGGCCCCATAAACTAGGTGTGCTAACATGTGATTGCAGTCCCAAGCACTCAGAGGGTGGAGGCGGGGACTGGAGGGATGGCTCAATGGTTAGGAGCACTGGCTACTCTTCCAGAGAACCAGGTTCTGATTTCCAGCACCTACAGGGCAGCTCACAACCATCTGAAACTCCAGTCTCAGGGAATCCCACCCCTTCTTTCTGGCCTCTGTGACACACATAGACACACAGGCAGACAAAACGCCCGTATTCATAAAATAAGTAATTTTTTAAAGATGGAAGCGGAAAGGATAAGGAGTTCAAGGCCATCCTTGGCTACATAGTAGGTTTGAGGCCAACCAAGACTCCATGAGACCTTGGCCAGAGGCATTATGGGTAAGGGGCTGGAGATGGTGGTGTGACCTAGGAACTGCAGACGCTGTGAATGTAACCTGAAATCTCACTGCCAGTGAGCCATGCAACGTTGCTGAAATGTGTGTGCCCTTCACCCTCGTGAAGTGCACAGACCCTACTTCCAGGGGAGGCAGTGACAGGTAAGGCGAGGACTTCAACACCTTTCAGAGGATCCGTTCAGCCCTAAGGGTGGGGATCTGCTCAGAACCAAGGTGGCCACCGGGGAGAAGGCTTCTACTGGCACCCAGCTGAGGATGATGGAAGAGAGCAGACGGAACTGGGCTGTGAGACCTCCTCAGACCTGCCACTGCTCCTTGGAAAAGTCATGCTTGCTCCATTTTCTAAGCACTGAGTCAACATTTCCAGTTAAGAGAAATGACAGAAGAGACACCAGGAGACCCAGAACTTAGTACCTGCCCATCGGTGGGTCCCAGAGCACCTGACCTGCTAACCTGACTGGATGGGATGACACACACACACACACACACACACACACACACACACACACACACACACGAAGGGGGGGTCTGAAAGAGGTCAGGGAGGTGAATCCCACCACATCAGGATTCTGTGGCCTCACAGCAGGGGGTGGTGGCCCCTTGGGTTGATGGAAACGGAAGCAAAGATGCAAAGGACCCAGCATGGTTCTGTCCAAGATCTAGAAATACAAGATGGTTGAAACAAGTGCCTGTGAGGAGATCTCTAATGGGCAGCTCAGAGACAGTGGATAGCCTCACCTAATAAGGTGGCAGGTGTTGCCACTGGCTGCTGTGGCCTGTCCAGACAGACAGCACCTGATATGGGAAAGCGGAACACCAAAAACACTGACCTGTAGCTCCCTGCTGAGAAGTCCATCATGCTGCAGGACTCAGGCACCATTCGCTACCCCAGGCCCAGAGCAGGAAGCCTGTTAGAGACCCCCCACTCAGGCCTCTCATCCTGTGGGGGTGCTGGGAGGAACCAGAGTCCCTTGCCTCTCCAGCCCTTGACAAGGCCCCTCTATGGGTCACACTGTGTGTGACTCCACCATGCCCTACACACATGCCCTGGGGCAGCCCATCCTGGCTTCAGACCCTGCTCAGCTCTGTACCCCTGACCAATTTCTCCAGTCTCCTAGGGCTTCAGGTACCTCATCTGTGAGAGGAGAATGATGTGCCTGAGGCACACTGCAGCGTCCATCATGGGAGGTCTGCCAAAGCAACTATCAGCAGCAAAGGCCATGGTTATGGACAGTTTT